AAGACAATTAACTTTCCCCTGCCTAAATGGAATCAGGGTTTGAACAACAAAAACATCCATAGCATGGCTATCAATTAACAAGACATAAGACAACTCTTCCATCACCCATCAAACTCACATCACTATCCCATCATCCATCCAACTTGACAACCAAACGCAAGACAAACAGCAAACTGAGTTTCCATGCTTGAGACTTATGCTTCCTCATTGCCATGTCCAGCTTCAATTGATTCTTCAGCCACAATACAAGCCTCCGCTGAACAAAGAAACAATCAAGGAAGAACAAGTCAGTAGGATCAGAAAGCATGCATCTTATGGTCTGAGTACACATTCACTATTTCCATTTGTGCCACTAACTGAAATATATTTATGATATATTAATATCTATTCCCAAAATCACAACTATATATATATATATATATATATATATATATATATATATATATATATATATATATATAAGGAAGTTAAGGTACGTACCTGAAGGATAGTAGAAGCTAACGTAGGGTAAGATGGTCCATTTGACATTCGGATCTTGATTCAGCCTGCTGGAGAGTATCTTCAAACCTGATGGCAGTGACTTGAGATCAATTTCGTAGGTGCCGAGACTCGTGGTTGCAAAAATGGTAAGGTACAATTGCGCAGTAATGCGCGCCTTTGCTTCTAGTTACTAGGAGCCTAATAGCATATTTGCTGCGACATGCTCATAGTCGGCACATTTGTATGGGGAAATAACCTGATAACACTATCGCTACGGAAGGTTCAGAAGGAGCCTAATAGCTTATAACAGTCACATGATGGTGGTAAACTAACAACACATAAGATATCAAATAGGATTTTCCCAGAAAACTTTGGGAAACAAAAATATGTACACCAAAATAAAATAATATGTATAAGCGGAATAAGAATCAATCCATTGCTTTTGTTGTGAAACATTGTCATACCTGCATGTGTTTTTTTTCAAAAAGATGGGGTGGCTATCCTGCTACTGCAAAAGTCCAAAAAAGTTTATCCGGTAGAAGATATCAGTAAGAATATATATGTGGTTATATACTGACTGATTTAATAAGCATACATATTTTTTCTTTGCAAGGGGATTAGCTCACATACATCATGAAAGTAATTCCTTCATCCAACTTCTCTTTGACGAAGTGGTAATATATTTCAGTGTGATTTGTTCATTCACGATGCACAAGTGGTTTGTAATATAGAATTTCTGAAAAAAATTCAGTTTCACATTATTTTCTCTTTTGTCTTCCATAGCAACAAACTGATAAAACCACACATGGTACTAGATATACACCACATGCATGTTCCTCGACGGTCGCGATGTGCCTCACCTATCACATGCCACCCTAAGCCATGTGTTGCATACATTCAGGAGCCGGTGCTCGGCTTTAGTTGAGGATGTGATGTCGAGGGTTTAGGTAGATGACACCATGATTGCAACGACTGTGGCTGAGAAGTAGATAGTGAAAAAGCATGGCAGCAAGAATGTGGCGATCATGGACAGGATGTTCAAGTCCTTTTGTTCTTGTAATTTAAAAAAAGAGTTTTCACTTCATGTAAAATGAACAAAATTTAGTGCTACGATTTTTATTTATTTGGAGCACTATTTTTTTTCTCTTGCGATGGAAACATTTTTTTCTTAAATTACAAGCACATATATTTTATGAACATTTAGATTATGAAAAAAGCAGATGTTTCTTTAGAATTCTAATTGAGTATAGTTTGTGAGTATAAGTGCATATGCTACTGGGAGCCATTTGTCCCTATGGATGACCATGTCATTTTCAAATGAAGATATATAATAATGTTTACCAATAATTCTAATCTCATGTTAACAATCTGGAGGCATCATGTAACAACCCATAGTTTACAATAAGAGTGGATATCTTTTTTCCCGATTGTGCATTGCAGTTCACGTATTATTTTTTGGAGGGAATTTAAAACGTATCCCTTAAAACCAGTAAGTCCAGCCAAGTGTGGGTAATTGGGCATGACCTTTGTTTATTTTGCCACATTTGGGTCACAGTGCAATTATTATTATGATACAATGACTTGAATGTATAGAGTTATTTGAACTGAAATTCAAACAAAGAAAACTGAATAATCAAGAAGAAATACAATCAACATTGAATTCACTGTTACAAAGTCGTATTTATAAAGTCATACAAGGGGGGGGGGGGTCATAAATTACAAAATCAAATGAAATGCAAATAGGAAAGCTAATACAATTGGATAATCAATAAAATTTGTTAGTAATGAGGAAATGTATGAGTATATGTTAGGAGTACAAAAGAAGTAAAAGAGGAGAAAACAAAGAAAAGACCCGGCGCAAGCCCTTGTTTTCTTTTCATTTTAACTCACTTTTGGATTAGAAACTGCATAACAGTCATAAAAATAAAATAATTGGGTTAATGGTTAGAATGTATGCATCTCTAACCAGAGATGCAATGTTCATATTTGAGGTTAACCTTGACGAAACCAGAAATTGGTCTAATTCCGAAAACATAGAGCCCGACAATTATGCCAACAATAGATATAACTAAAGCCAACCAGGAATGGCAACCAAGCCAACCAATATTTCCAACCATGGCATAAAATCCACAACCAAACCAGCCAAACCTCACTTAATCAACAATAGTCTCTCTCTGTAAGTTTAGGTTAAACCTCATTAAGTAAAATACCACAGTAAAATTAAGTATTGGTTAAGCTTTCAGATTAAGTTAAGTCCGTCCAACCGTTTTCCCATATGATAATGATCTGAGCCACATGTCTATGTTAAGAAACTTCCTATTTAAGGAGGATAAGTACACAAGACCAGCCGAAGGCATAAGTTTGCCAATAGGCAAGCATTTCACGTAGTGATATAAACCTACCAAGGATTAGACCAAGCCATCAACCCCAGGCCAGCCGAAGGGGTGTGTGTGTGTGTATCTCACCTTAAGAGGCCATCCAGCTGTTTAAAACGAAAGCATGAAGAAGAGAGTAACAGGTGTAATTCTAGCATAAATCGGTAAATCAAATCCCACGCTGCCAAACCACACATCTTACTCATTTGTGCAAAATCTGAATGAACAACATATGTATCATTCATATACGCATTGACCAATAGTATAAATAGGGCAGATCAGCAACAGTAGAGAGTCACAACACCACTGGTGGCATACACCAATAGAGAAGAACCACTAGACTGAGCCAAGAAGCTAGAGCAGGCGTTAAGGTGTACCACAAGTCACAAGACTCAAAGAAGCTTCAGAAGCCCTTAAAGTAAGAAAACATAGGATATGGGAGTTGACCAAATAGGATCTGTTCTTATCAGATTAGAGAGGAGGGAAAATTTCTAAAACAAAGTAAGGAATGGCAGCATCTGTTCTTACCAGATTAAGGTTTTTTAACATGGTCCATCTTACCTCCGTTTTTCACAGGTAAGAAGGTAATATAGGTTCCGTGGAAGCCCATGCAAGATACTCCCACAAGAACGAATGGGTATTCAGTAGAGGCATTCTTTATGCTTCCATGATGATTACATATATTCTGTTGATATATATTGTCTACAATATTTTTGGGGCAGCAACCTTTCCCGCTGTAAAACTGAATTTCTCGTGTGGCAAATTAGACAACCGTTACCCATGAAGATTGTTTAACAGCACAATTTTATGTAGAGAGAAATGTGTAATTATGCATACAACTTGCAGCCAGTTTTTACACAAAAGACAATTAATTTTCCCCTGCCTAAATGGAATCAGGGTTTGAACAACAAAAACATCCATAGCATGGCTATCAAAAATAGAGACAGGCTATTAATTAACAAGACTCAAGACAACTCTTCCATCACCCATCAAACTCACACCACTATCCCATCATCCATCCAACTTGAAAACCAAACGCAAGACAAACAGCAAACTGAATTTCCATGCTTGAGACTTATGCTTCCTCATCGCCATCTCCATCTTCACTTGATTCTTCATCCACAATACCAGCCACCGCTGAACAAAGAAACAATCATGGAAGAACAAGTCAGTAGGCTGAGAAAGCATGCATCTTATGGTCTGATTACACATTCACTATTTTCAGTTGTGCCACTAACTGAAATATATTTATGATATATTAATATCTATTCCTGAATCTCTACTATTAAAGGGCAATCTGCCGTCGTCGTGATGGTTCGACCAACATCCCTCTCCCTGCTATCGTCAGAAAAAATAGCCACGATCAAAACCACCCACGATGGAAAAAACAGAGCACGCACAAAAAGATCGCAGAAGCAGTCCACGTTCCCTCGAAGCAAGCCTTGCTTCGCACAATTGAAAAAAAAAGAAACAACCACGACCCACTACCGTCCCACGTCCCACATATCCTCTCTCAGTTTCCCCTACCTCTCGCTCCTGATCCATCCTCTCTCTCGATCTCGTGAGAAAAATCGCCGCCGCCGTCCCCCACACTCGTGTGCAAGTGCAACTGCCCATCTGCATCGCCGTCCGACGCCCTTGTACGACCTGCTTGCCTCTGCCACCGCAACAGCCGTCGGTTCCATGGACTACGCCGCCGACGACTTAGGAGGTTGACCCCTGTGGGGAAGCTGGCGGGAGGCCAACGCCGTCGAGGCGCTCGCCGCCGTGTCCGCCGCCACGAGGCGCGGGAATTCGGCAGCTTGCTGGCAGGGCCAGGGCTATCGGGTAGGAGAGCGACGCTTTCCAGAGCCTCACCGGTGAGCCCGTGTATTGCACCAGCGCCGCTGTATTGGGCGCGTTGGGAAGATCTTGGCGGCCCTTACCGTGTTCTTCCCGGTCGACGAGGAGGCCCGGCGCTACACTGCCTCCCCGACATCTCTCAAGACCCTCGTCTCGGTGCTCTCCCACGGTGACCTTGCCGCATGGGCCAGCGCCGCCATCGTCCTCCACAAGCTCGCCTCGTCCCCCGACTGGCACACCATCGACGTCATCTCGAGGACGCCCGGCGTGTGCAGCGCACTCGTCGGCCTCGTCAGGAAACCCATGTCCCCGCAGGCCAACAAGGCCGCGCTCGTCACGGCCTACTACCTCGTCTTCGGCAGCAACCGCGCGGCCGCCCGCTTCGCCGAGCTAGGGCAGTGCTCGTCGTTGTGGAGCTCGTCCTGGACGCTGACAAGAGGACGAGCGAGAAGGCACTGGCCGTGCTGGACGGCATCCTGTGCTGACACCGGCCTTGAGTCCGTGCGTGCGCACGCGCTGGTCGTGCCGTGCTGGTCAAGAAGATGTTGCGTCTCTGCGCTCTGGCGCCTCTGCCGTGCCGCGGACACTGGCGCCGGCGCGTGCTGCGACGAGGCGCTGCGTGTGGGCACCTTCAAGAAGCTGCTCCAGGTGGGCTGCGGCGGCGTGACCAAAGATCGGGCCAACGAGCTGCTCAATGGTTTCAGGGGCAGCGTAGAGTGCATCGAGACGGTGGACTTCAGGGGGCTCAAGAGGCCATTTTGATCGGTGTGAGTGATGAAGTTTTAGCTTCTGCTTTCACCCTTGTTTCGATTGTATTGGGAGCTAGATTGGATGTGTGGATAAAACATACACCAGGATGACTAGATTTTTTTACCCCATAACTGAATACTCGTACACAGAATGATCAACACAAAAGAGAACTGAACATTGTCATGTTTATTTATCTTCATAGTTTGGAAGTTATTTCGGGTTATTTACGATTTTGAAGTGATTCACACATTACAGAATTCCATCAAGAGTTGAGAAACATAAGTCTATTTTTGTGGTCATCATGATGTTGATAAACTCCTATATTCCTCTTTCTCTGAGTAGTATGCTCCAATTTTGGGGTCATCATGCGTATTGCAGCTTGAATCATGTTCAGTTCCTCTCTCTACACGTTTGGAAGTCAATCATGCATAGCAAGATAGAAAATCTATTTTTAATTAAGATGTCCATAAAAAACATTTACTTGTGAATATTTGAATAACGGAGCAAGATATGTAACCTTGCCTTCTCCCTGAAGAAATGATTCCCGTTGTGAATTAGGTCAATCTCGAACACCATATTTACTATTTAGTAGACCAACAACGTGCTCTTATCATATTTGTGTATCCTTACTATTTTTCTTATTAAAGAAAGGATACAAGTATGATGGTGGAGAGCTTAGAATCTATTATGTGTGCACGTATTCCTCCAGTGTTGCGCTCACTCTTTTTTCATAGAGGCTCAACCAGGAGAAGCACCTGGGCCTATCACTCATGGACATACTTGTTCATGCATCTCAGAGGTAACACTCACCCTGCTTCAACAAAGTGATCATACTAGGGCGTTGGAGCATTCATAATCATGAAAATATCTTCATATTTGATGGAGACATATTAGTTCAATGTTCGAAGTTACATTGGTTATACACGTGGCTACCCCATTCGAGATATACAAGGGGAGTTGATGATTGTATGTCCCTTTGTTGGTATGTCGTCGTCGCAACTCACTATTTCTCTAGACACATGTGCACCATTTCATATATCTTCTAATGTTTTGAAGAAGTGACCAAGCGATAGTTAGGGCAAAATGACTAACATTTGAATTGACGACAATGATAGAGCAAAGATGGATGAATTCTATGGATGTGGAGAGGAGGAACGACCGGGAGAAAGCCGCTTTTTCTAGATGCAAGGAAGGTCGTGGAAGAGATGATGGCATAGGAAGTTAAGGACACACTTCTAATTTGTAAAATATACATCAGGGGTCTCTCTTACTCACGTTAAAAAGAGACATGATAGAGAAAGCAACGGGAGAAAGAATTGGTAGTCGCTATTATATCGATCAATATCCGTCATGTTTGACATGCACTTCTGAATTAGAACAATGATCGATGTATACATTTTTTTAAGTCCCGTGGCAACGCACGGGCATTCAACTAGTCACAACTATATATATAAAAGGAAGTTAAGGTACGTACCTGGAGGATAGTAGAAGCTAACGTAGGGTAAGATGGTCCATTTGACATTCAGATCTTGATTCAGCCAGCTGGAGAGCATCTTCAAAGGTGATGTCAGTGACTTGAGATCAATTTCGTAGGTGCCGAGACTTGTGGTTGCAAAAATGATGTCAGTACCCTCGATGGAGCCAACCAAGTCTGGTGATATCTTGAAATCACCAGCGGGAAGAAGAGTCTCGAGGTCGATGTCTCTGCGTTCTGCCCACGACGCAACTCCATCGGGATCCACCTCTCTCCACCAGATGGAGAGGTCGGAATAGAACAGGTCTGCGAGCCCTAGCCGACCGTCGTCCGATGCGATGAGAATTGGACTGTTGCTGGCATCCTGCATCTCATCCGACAGATTAATCTCTGACAGACAAGAGGTTCCCAAGTCGTACTTGAGAATACTGCAACCTTCAAACGCCTGGTCCCGGAACAGGAGGAAATAGAGCGCATCTCCTGCGAGTACACTAGGCGTGCAGCAATCGATTTCCTCCTCAAACATACCAAGGTCGGTGATGGCCAGAGAGCTCCAACTAGCCGTCTCCGATGAGTACACGCACGCCGTAGCGACCTCCTCTTCGTGGTGAAGGAAGACGAAAATGACGCGGAATGGACCCGATTGGCAGTCACCATGGCGGCAGTTGTCCACCGTACAGAGCACCGAGGCAGACCAGCTTCTCGTTCCCATCTTCTCGAGGCTGCCAAGCAATGTTTCGCTGCCCGTAATGGGGTCCCAGACAACCAGCAATGGGATATTCGTATCCTCATCGATGTACCGAAGGAGGACGTGGCCGTGGCGACAATCTTCCACGGAATAGTGCTGCCGGGGGTCGAGATCGGGCGCAGCGAAATCTGTCGTGGGGATGAACTCGGCGCAGGGTTCCGGCCAGATGTGGAAGAAGCCAAGCATGGGAGGTGTTCGGTGGAAATCACCGTAGCGGCGACGGAAGCCGTCGGCGGCGAGGAGGTCGTGCCATTGCTTACTGACGAGGGAGGAGCGGAGGAGATTACCTGGCTCGTCCTTAGGGAGGCGGATGAGGATCTCCTCCACGAGCTCCTCAATCTCGCCCAGCTCCGCCGCCATCGTCGTGTGTGCCTGCGGGCTGCGGCGGCCGAATGGATTTTGGAGGATTTTTTGGTGTTAGGGTTTCGGAGTTGGAGAGGACCAAGAGGAGTGAGGAGAAGTTCTGGAGGCGCGTCTCACGAGATCTGTCCGCTGACAGTTTTTCAGATTTCCGTTTCACACTCCAGTCCTTTAACTGTAACATATTTACCGACATGTGCAATTCAGCGGTCCAATGCATCTCGGGCAGGCCCAACTTGCTTGGTCGAAAAAAAGTTCTTCCTCTAACTACTCCCTCTTTCATTTTATATAGCTCAATACCAGATTAGGAACATATTTGGACCATTTCTTTTGGGGTTTGGATGTTTTTACCCATGAGCAAACATCCAAAAATGGTATAGTCGACGCCTCGCGTGCAGAAACATGCGTTTTTAATTCACATGCATGCAATGCCCAAGCGCATCATCACTCCCATGTCATCACCCCCTCCCCCCCCCGGGCTCTGGACACACACATATCTCTCACGTGCATCTCTCCATTTATCGCTCTCGTTAGCCCACGCGTCATCGCTCATTCATGAATGGAAATGAGAGTTTACACGTCCAAGTTTTCTTTGAAAATCCTATCTCAAGAGGCAGAGCGCTTTTATCTTTGTTTTCAAGTTTGCCGACACGCATTTTAAAGTGTACCTTTCCATGCATGGCAGGTGTTGCGGCAGCCATATAATTTTTTACAATACAGTGGTAGGAATTTTTATACATATATAGTCACAAAACATGTTGATTATATGTGTCTGTCCTTAGAGATTTTTTTATGATTTTTTTTCTTGTAGGTTATTCATCGGATACATATAATAGTAGCAACAAAATTAGAAGCAAACTTGAATTGGAAAGCCCACATTTGATCAAACCGGGAGGATACAAATCCATTGGCCAGCAAACCACATGGAATTCCTCTCCATGGGAAAATACATTTTTCATTTTGTAGAACTATAAAGATGCCATGCTTAAACTTTTGTTAACTATCAACAACTTCATTGATCTTTTTAAAGCAATGAGGAAGAAAGAGGATTGCAAACTTGAGAAAGATCCATTCGAGAGCATACTTGGGACTGTCCTAAAATACGTTTTGATGCTTCTTTTCTAGCATGGTACAATCTCTCACCCAAAAAGACAACAATTCATCGATGTGATAGACACACTATGATCCTAATAAGTTTTTCTAATGGGCTTTGCCCCTTTCCATTACTTTCATAATGAGAATACAACATTTATCAAGAGATATGGATACAATAAATGAGAAAGGAAACCAAGTGAGCTCAAGCATCCCTTAGAGTTTCTAAACTCCCACGAATGCTCGGTTTCCGGTGGTTGGGGGATGGGGCGGTTTTATGCCCATTTGTCAATGTGTGCCCCGCTGATTAGGTGTGTATGGGCCTACTTGTAGGATATCATAGCGTTCCTAAAGAGATTTTGCCCTCTCGCTGCTCTTTTGGTTTTGTGGGTGGCGGTTGTGTGAGGTTATGGTCGGTGCCATTTCCTGTCATCCCATGAGAGGGGCAGTGGTATGATCTATACAGGGTTGCGGGCTTTGACTTCTCGCAGAGGGGGAGTTGTCTGCATTGCCCTATGCTCGATCTTCTGCTTATGTGGGAGGGGTGGCGAAGGGTGTTGCCCGCCATGGTGAGTTCCCCTCTCATAACCTATAACTATAGGAAATCCATTGGAGCCCCTTTTATATAAGTAAGCGAGTCTAAACCCACGAGGGGCAGAGGAAATTGGTTGATGGAAACTGTTAGTAATCACTATAAAAGCTGCAAAGATTGGTTGATGTTTTGTTTGATCAAAACAATAATTGTAAGAACTTAACTTGTAAGAAAAGTGAAATGGTGCATCAAGTGGCACAATCCTTAGTTGTGCTAAGGGGAAGACGGTTGTCTTATTTATAGCGATCAAATCGCTCTCGAGGGCATACAAAATTTCACAAAGTTGTTTCCATCTAGTTTCGTTGAGTTAACTTTCATTGCCTTGATAATTGTTGTGTGGTGGAACCTATGCTAATATTGTTCTTACTTGAACAAAACACACACTTATGATTGTGCCCTTAATTACATCAGCAAATACACAAGAGTAATTAAGATACCATCTAACCATAGCATTAAGCTTTAGGGTTCCAACAACCCCTTATGTAATAGTTTATAAATTTAGGGCTTAGTAATTTCTGTCACTCCAGCCACCCATCATAGACAACTAATCACACTGCCCGCAAAAAATAGACAACTAATCACACAATGATCTCCTCTAGGCCCTTAAAGGTAAAGTGATAAGCAATTGATGCTCGCACATCACCACTAGAGAATCAAACCAAAACATAATATCAAAACATTTAACTTTATTTAGTTTCACATGATTAATGGCAACAGGGTTTCTCTCGTAGCCTCAAGAACGTAAC